GAAGCAAAATCTGTTGGGCTCTTTTTGGCATCAAGACAGTTATTCTTATTGCCACATTGCCAGACAAAATTCTGTCACACAAATTCAAACGACTCTAAATTACAGTTCGGGATCTGTACTTGCTTTAATTCACATATCTAATTTCAGACCCTCAGGGATTACTCTCCACTGGGTTTGACAGTTTTATGGAGATTTCTTTGCTCACCCTCACAGAGGATTCAGATTGCTTCCTGAAATTCTGGTTCCTGAAAAAAAAAGATAAAACATCTGATTATAAAACGAGCTTCTTGTGTTGAAATGTGCTGCAGCCTGAGGAAGACTTACGCGTAACCAACGGAGTGGCGGTTGCTGGTCAAGCTCTCCTTGTCCAATGCCTTCAGCTTCTTGCTCCTTTTATACCTGATGGCATAAAAAGGTTGAATTTGATTCGCTGTTCGAACGAGAAAACCCAAAGCAATCAGAGTTCTTACCTGACGGCAAACACGGTGGCAATGATCAGTCCCACGAGGCTCAGGCCCAACAGAACGCCCAAAGCGATGACGACCGCCATGTTTGAGGCGGGGGTGGTAGAATCTGTCACCACGTCAAAATCAGGCTTCTCTCCAAACAACAGATCCAGCTCTGCCTTCAGCTCATCAGACTCGCTTTGCAGTTTCCTAAGAAAATAAATGCCATTAATACTTTGACCTTCAGTCATTTAGCAATAAAATCAAAGATTTAACAGGTCAGAGTTTTCCATCACATTTAATATATTTCAATAAAAAAAACACTTATGACTCAAAGATTAAGCTCCTACTTCTGGACTTCTTCAGCAGAAACGGCTTCTGTGTCATCAAGAGCAACAAAGCTGACCAACGTCCGGTAAGAAGCCCTCAGCGTTCGAGTGTCTGATCCATCAGAGCTCCACACCTGGATTATATTCACCGTCCAGCCCAGAACTTTACCCAAAGATCTAAAGGAAAAGAAATCTGCGTTTTAACAACAGGAATTTTTAAAAATAAGTCTGGAAATTAACAGAAATTCTACATGAACCTACTTTTCAAGCTCTGGAACCTTCTTCTCCACGACGTTAGCCGGCCGATTGATAGCGATGGTTACAACATCACTGCTGCTCGCACTTTTCTGAACTTCAATCTGCAACAGAAGGATTAATAGGATTTTACTGACTAAAATAAACAAACAAATAAAAACATTAGAAAAATGACCCCTAAGCTTCATTTTGCTGTACTTCAGCTGACTGCTCTTATATTCAGGTGACCATAAATACTTTCACTCAATCACCTTTTAGAAATTTTACTATTTCAGCTTCACTGTCAACATGGCAGCCGTTCTAAAATACACGTTACGAAAAAACTGAAATATAAGTAAGTCGATTTGATCTGAGCAGATAGGTAAGGAAATTTGCCAATGGAATTATATTATTTCTAAAATAAGGAAA